AAATAGAAATAAGGAAGGAAGAACGCAGATAGTGAGAGAGGGCTATACAATGCCTCAAGAAAAACTTCTCTAATTGTTGGGTTCAATTATAACTCTGTTTTGTACAAGTAAACATAAGAAACATATAGTATATATGTTTATACTATGTATGTTTATAGTATATAAAATCAGTTACCTGATTTTTCACATAAACTAAGTGAATCACACCCACGAAAACATAAACATTTATTTTTACAATTAGACATTATAATCTGAACAATTATATATATCATATATAGACATTATAATCTGAACAATTATATATAGCATATATTAGACATTATAATTAGACATAATTATAGATTATAAGACATAATTATATAATTATAATTATATATTATATATAATTGTTCAGATTATGTCTAATTCTAAAAATAAATATGCATATATACACATTTATATCTTATATATATTTATACATTGTAATATCCAGTTCTAAAAATAAATGTATATATATAATATACTTAATTGCTCTGATTATATATATAATTGTTCAGATAATAATGTCCAATTCTAAAAATAAATGTTTCATTTTATTTACTGTTTAAAAATAAATGTCTAATTCTAAAAATAAATGTTTATGTTTTCATGGATATGATTCACTTAGCTCACACGAAAAATCAGGTAATTCAGAATATATCCAAATGGCAAAACAAATGGTTTGTTAGCAAAACGTGCTTCTCAAATAACAAACAGAAAAGAAAAAACATAGTTGTGACTTCAAAGAACCCAACTGATAAGACATTCAAAGAATGACGTCAGTAATTATTGGAATCAAAAAATAACAGAACATTGTAAAGCCAAAGCAAAACAGAAATTCAAGCAAAATTAAAGCCTTTATCCAAATACAGTCAGAGAGCTGGCTGAAAACGTAAAACTTTAGTTTTCTTCAGAAATAATGTGAGATTACTGGTCAGGAATGTGACATCAATTACAATCTGTATTTTTCTTAACTTTTATGTTACCTATTTTCTCATAATCTTTTCTTTACTAAGGAGGTGAATTGATATACTAGAAAGAACACACTACATCCAGATGACCAGGATTTTAGGTCTGGCTGGAACCCTCAACCTACATAATCTCATCAGTAAAATTAGGAAACCAAAGTTGTCCACACGCCTCACAGTAAAAATCAAATGCAATATGCAAAGGTACTCTAGGGACTGTCAAGCACTATATGTGAAAATGTTTAATCCTTATGTACAGCATGCAAAGAATGGGTAAAAAAAGAATCCTATTCATTCATGTATGCATGCATTCAACAGACATTTAGTGTGCACCAATTATTTGTCAGGCACTGTTCTAGAAACTGGGACACAGCTAAGGAACCAAACACATAAGTTCCTGCTCTACCAGACCTTACATTCTAGTGGGAAAAGATAAATAATCAACAAACTATGAGTAAAAAATAAGAGTATATTAATAACAAATACTGTGAAGAAAAACTAAGCATGGAAATCTAAGAAAAGATAGGCTGGAAGAGCAAATTAGAATTTGTAAAAGGGTGGCCAGAGAAGGCCTTACTGACATAACAGTTGTGGAAAAAATGAGCAAAAACAAAAACTGTATCCAGTGAACTGGAAAAATACTGAAAGATTCTGATTACAATTTTAAAAGGATTCCTCATATGCATTAAGAATAGACTCTATTGGGCAAGGACTATTTGGAGACTTATTGCAAGGTTATTAAAATAAGGTAGATAAGAGATGAAGTGGTAGCTTCGAAAGGTGGACACTGGTGGAGGTGGTGAGATATAGTCATATTTGGATATATTTGAAAACATACAAAAAACAACCTTCTAATTAGTTGTGAGAAGTGAGAGAAATAAAGAAACTGAAGCCTTTAATATTTTGCTCTAAGTAAAAGGATGGATAGAGAAGACTACAGGAAAAACATGTTTTGGAGGCAAGATCATAATTTGGATTTTAAACATGTTAAATTTCAAATGCATATTAGACAACTAAGTGGAGATGTTCAAAAGGCATTTGGTTATAGACTCAGAGACAGTAATGCAGGCTAGAAATACAAAGGGATCTTCAATGTTAAGATGGTATTAAAAGTAAGGAGATAATGAGATAACCAATGTAGTGACTATTTTAGAAGAAAGAAAGAGAGTTTGAGCTCTGGGAACTGTATTATACGGGTGAGAGGAGAAATACCAAAAAAGTGAAGAAAAACAAGAAGGAGATGTCAGTGAGGTAAGAAGAAAACTTTTTCTTATCATCAGTTACTGGTTACTGTCTAGCCAGTGAGTATAAAAGTCTGGCATCCTACTTGGGTCTTTATGAATTGAAAACAAACCATATCTTTTGGTGATACTTACATTCAATTCTTCATGCTAGCACAAAGAGGATAGTAACAAAAGGGAAAGGAGCAGCATTATTTAATCACACTGAGGATAACTTTCAACTCTAGCTTCCTATTTCCCTTTTGGGAATAAATCTCACTGCTCTGCAAAATCCGTGAATGTCACACAAAGAGTCTTCAAACGAATACACATCAGTACAGTAAATTTGATCTTAAAAATTGAGATTACCATTTTAACATAGATCTAAAGTTTTCATTTTATTTTTCTACTAATACTTATTATAGAAGACCTGAAATATGCAAAAGTGCCAAGAAAAAAATACAATCACTATTAAGATTTCAGTATATTTTCTTTTGTTCTTTGTAGATATACATATAAAGGTATGGTTATGTGTAAGTATATACAATCACTATTGAATAGAGTATTGTTAAATGCTTTTTCCATGTAGTATTTATCTAGATTATTAATTATTTCAAAAATATTTAATGACTGCACAATATATCACCAAATTAATTTACTCTAATTTGCTTAACCATGACCCACTGGTTGGAATTCAGTGGGATTTCCCCTACACTTGTCTCCATCAAATAAATAATGCCTACGATAATCCTCTTTGTACTTAATTCTTTACCTACATTCCTAATTCTTTTCTTCAAATATGTTATTAGAAAATATATTACTGGTATAAGTGTTTGATAATTTAAAAGTATTGTTATGAATTGAACTACAGCTCCCAAAAAAATCATATCTTGAAGTCCTAACCCTCACTATCTCAAAATGCAGCCTATATTTGGAGAGAGAGTCTTTAATGAGGTAAGTAATTTAAATGAGGTTATTAAGATATGTCCTAATCCAATATAGCCGATGTCCTTATTTGCACACAAGCACACCCCAAGTGAAAACTCAGAAGATGCCATCTGCAAGCCAAGGAGAGAGGTCTCAGAATAAATCGCCTTGATCTGGGACTCCTAGCCTCCAGAACTGTGAGAAAATAAGTCTCTGTTGTTTAAGGCACCTAGTCTGTGGTATCTTGTTACAGCATCCCTAACAAACTATCACAGGTATAAATGAATATTGTCAAATATATTGTCAAATTGCTTTTCTAAATATTTGTGTCAATATATATTTGAAAGAGAAAGCTGACCTCACTACACCTTGGTCATTATTTTTAAAATGATAAAATAAACTCAATTTATAGGATCATATTATGAGATAAAAATGCTAATTTCCATAAAATAACAACAACAGCAATCATAATAAAGAAATCCTCCATTTCAAAATAAAATCCTGACCATCAGTAGTTTGAAAACTTATAAATGCAAGACGTTAGGGAAGTCACATAGTATCTCTTGATCACAGTTCTCAGACTTTTAAAAATCACAGATTTAGGCTCAATAGTTTTTAAGGACTTTCTAAGTGTAAAAATTACATGACTCTTTTTTTGCTTTTTAGTGTTCTTCACCTGTTCATATATACAGGGTTATGCCTTATAATTGGCCTATTCCTTGAACAACCTAAATCACATTGGTTTCCTTTTAGAAACCTCTACTAGAAGCATCATGGTAAGAAGCAAAGCTCCAAAAACTAGAGCAAGAAAAACTGAATCCAAAATCCAGGTCTGTTACTACGTGGCTATGGGATATTTTCATGTAATATTGTTTCTCTATTTCTATTTTCTTTTTTCATTCAAAAGCTTTGCCCAGTGGCTGGTGATAGAAAAATTTAAAAAGAAGATAAATACAAGCACACATGAGCACATACCTTCAATCTCCATCCTCAAAAAGTTAATAATACAAGAAGGAAAGAAGTAGATAAAATAAACTAAAATCATGCATTCTATAAGAAAGTATATATGAAGTTTCAATAGAGCTAATGTTAAGCTAATATTACCATCTCACTCATTAATTTGGGAATATTGATTTGGGGGAAATTAATTTTGGGAAATCAGGTAAAAATGTGTTTCTTTCAAAATTTAAAAATGTATATAACCCTAAGTCAGAATTTCTAATATTGCCTTTAAGGTTGTACTTATATCCCATCTATAGTCTCACAGTTTCAGCTCTATAATCACTTTCTAGAAACAGTTAAATAAGGTTCTAGCACTAATCTCAGAAAAATGCTTTTTTGTTCCTGCACCTCACCTGCAAAAATTAGATGTTCATATTAAACATCTAATGTTCATATATTCTGTGAGAGTATATTTTTAAAGTCTGCAGATACCAGTATACCTATAACTTTCTTTATTTAGACTATATCTTCAATATGAAAACCCTTCTGTATCATTGCATCATTATATGCAACAATTTTAAGACAAATTTTAAAGATTTTGAGAAAAGAAATTTTGGCACCAAACTAAATTTACAGATTATGCATTCCTTATCTGAAATGCTTGACATCAGAAGTGTTTCAGATTTGGGTATTTTGGATTTTCAGATTTAGGTTACTCAACCTGTATATAATTTGTATTTCAGCAGATTTTTTAAAGCAGTGTAATTAAAAATACCCTTTCAAATTTATTCAAATATTTAAAATATTTTTAAATTCACAGCTGTACTTTAGTACCTAATTGTATTTCTAAGTATATGCAAAATCTTGTCTTAAATGTGTGGAGTGAGATAATTTTCAGCATGAAATAGTGTATCAGTGTACTTACAAAGCAGTTCTTATCAGGATTTCTTTTCCAATGTTTCTTGTCTAATTTCTTGGCCGAAGTGGAACGCAGAGCTGCATGAGTTTGTGTTCGAGGATTTAAAGCCAGGATGCTCTAAGGACAGCATAAACAATGTGTAAATATATAGAAATATGTTTAAACTTATTTTTATTTATTTTCAGACAGAGTTTCTCTCATGTTGTTACCCAGGCTGGAGTGCAGTGGTGCAATCTCAGTTCACTGCAACCTCCGCCTTCCAGGCTCAAGCAATCCTCCCACCTTAACCTCCCAAAATCAATCAATCAATTAAAAAAATGAAAAAATAAAACTAAAGGAAGTTCTTCAGGCAGCAAGTAAGTAACCATAACTTCCTATTCACATGAAAAAACAAAGGCTAACAGTAAAGTATAGGTAATTATGAAATTCTAATAGACAGTATAAATGTATATTGACAGACGATAAAAAGCAAGATGCAACTATGTGCTGTCTTTAGGAGGCACACCTTTAATTCAACACCACAAATATGTTGAAAGTAAAAGTTGGAAAATGGCATATCATGCAAATAGGAGTGACATAAAAGCTGCAGTGCCCATACTAACATCAGAAAACACTTAAAAAAAAAAACAAAGGTTACTAGAAGTGAGGAACATCTTACTATGATAAAGGTTCGATCTACGAGGAAAATATAATAATTTTAAACATATATGTGCCTAACAACAAGGCCCAAAATACAAACAAATTTGAAGGGGAAACAGATATTTAAACAATACTAAAAATTTCAATACCTCACATTAAATAATGGATAGAACAACTAGGCAGAAGACCAAAAAGGAAACAGAACACTTGAACAATACTATAAATCAACAAGACTTAACATATCCATAGAATACTCTAAAAGAAATACAAATTCTTCTCAGTTATCTATGGAATCTTCTCTAGGATATATCATATACTAGATGAAAGAAAAGCCTCCATTAACTTTAAAATATTAAATCATACAAAATAGTTCTCCTCTCACAATGGAATGGAATTAAATACCAATAACAGACAGAAATTGAGAAAATTCAAAAACAATATGATGAATATTGTAAACATTATGCTAAATGAAAGATGCCAGCTACAAAATACGACATATTGTATTATACCATTTATATAAAACATCCAGAATAAGCAAATCTATAGAGATAAAAACTATCTTAGTGGTTTCTCAGGCTAAAGTATTAGGGAGAAATGAGACGCTGCTACAAAAAGGATATGTGATTTCTTCTGGAGTGAAGAAACCTGATTATGGTTATATTGGCATAACTGAATACACTAAAAAACACTTTGAATTCTATACTTTACATTGGCAAATTATTGATTTGTGAACTCTATATGAATAAAACTGTTACCCAAAATAAAACCCTATTAAATTCTACATTCAGTCAATTTAGCCATATATTTTATTCACTCTAATAAATACCAGTAAAACTTCCTTTATTATCTCAATATAAATGTAACAAGGTTATTTTAGTAACTCCTAAATATTATAGAAATCATATTTTTTCAGTCTATCAATCTTAGATATCTGTGTCTTTTAGAAGAAAAATACATAATAAAGCTGTATTTTTATTTTTTTTATTTTTTTTTTCTGTGTTTAGCTCTTTTTTTTTTTCCCATTTATTTATTTTATTGCATTTTACATTTTGGGGTACATGTGAAGAACATGCAAAATTGTTGCATAGGAACACACATGGCAGTGTGATTTGCTGCCTTCCTCCCCATCACCTACATCTGAAAGCTGTATTTTTAAATGGTTTATTGCTTATGATGAAATAATACTAAAGCAACCTACTTTAAAAAGCCAATATTAGAAAATGCAGGTAATCTCATGCTTATAGAAAAAAGTGAAAACATTTTCTTATTCCAGAATACAATGTTTACTTATCTATTCAGCTTTCAATCATTACTAATCTCATACATTAATTCAAATTGAGAAATAATAAAAAGGTACAATTTTTAAAAAGTAGTTATTCCAACATTTAAAGCAAAAAAAACCAAGTAACATGTAAGAAAGATGGCCGCATTTTAGTTTTTATTTCCATAATCCATATTGTGATAAATGATCATGTTTATCTATGTCAGCATAGTAATATAACTTTTGAAAATAAACATTCTGAATGTAATTTATTGGCTACTTATCACAGCTACTTTTCTTTCACATAGCATAAGTAGAAAGCATAACATAACATGAAATATTGGGTTAACCTTTTGCAAAAAGGCAGTGAGTTGAATTCAATGGATCTTGGGTAAAAATAAATTGGATTGTGGAAAATGGTTACCAAGGATTTGACTTAATAATATCCCAAATGAAAAGCGATATAAAATAAAAATACAAGACATGAGTGGTTCAGAGCTGTTAAAAATAATTTTCCAAAGCAAGACTTTTAAAAACTAAAAGTCAATATCATCAATAACTAAGCAGCTGGCAGATAATACAGGAGAGTTCTAAATTGCATTCTTCCTAAGAAATGGCCAAAGCCAGGTTCCAACAGGTCACAGGGTCCCCTCTCTGGATAAACTGAGCACTTTAAGAAGCCCATTAACCCTTTCGGATACAGGGTATATTACTTACAAAGAGAGATTTTTCTCTCATCAAAGAATTTGGCCTTAGGCTTTACCAATCATTTTCAGTAACACAATAAAATTGTACCAGTTATTCTAGAAGCAGAAAAACAAAATTAGAAAAAAAAAATAACTGTACTAATTTTGGTTAGTTTAAGAAATGATAGAATATGATCCATGGCCAACTACAAATGAAATCAAACAAGAGTTATGTATTGTCACTGCTTGGTCTATTAACACTATTCTGTGAAGTAATGGAATGCTGAAACATACAAACTAGAATTATACATCTAAAGAGAGTTTTTTTTGTCTTACCACTGAGGCCAAAAAAGAGAAGCCTGTATTGATTACAATCACAGGCCTTCACATCACAAATAAAATCACTGAATCTTAGGCCTAAAACATTGGAGCTCCACTATTATTCAAGAGCCTGAATTCCAATTGCAGGAAGCTACTTGACCAACATGTTTTCTTTCTTAACATGTGATTTTGTTTTACACCACAACAGTAATTATCCAAACATAGTGTACCATTAAGCTTCCTTTGCACTTTGCATGTGAAGTCATAAATGAAATTTTCGTATTCAATACTGGTAATTATTTACTATAATTCTGAGGCATTAAAATCATACACATGTTGCTGACATTTGGTACTTATATGCTTAGGATGATAAATTAAGTTTTGTCTTATTTAAATTATGTTGAAATTTTCCTTAATGTCTTATTCTGAGTTCTCTATAAGTTATCTCCTCCTTTCCAATGCATCAAATAAACAAATAATAATAATAATAAACATGTTTTTCCCATTTCATAATTAGGCATAAACACTTTGATTTCAATATAACATTGTATTGTACTGCCAATTTTTCCTCAATAAATATTCAAAGCTAACAGAAAAACAGAAATATCTATTGATTAGTGCTTTTGATCAGTATTTGTTGCCTTACCCAGGTAACAATCTAACAAATGCTGGTCATTGGAGAACTATGCTTTTCCGTTTATTTGCTTAACAGTCTCTTGTTTAAAAACCCCATTCTCAGCCAATTAACCTACCCTTTTCTATGTCTCTCATTAGTCATAGTGCATAGTGATTTAATTAATATATTAGAAATTCACAAATCTACCTTTTTTCTTGAATAAGCCCAGAACTGATATGACCCATCTCCTGCTAGGTATGGAACAGAAGAGGAGAGAATGCAGCTTTATTTTGCATCCTAGGTTCACACTTGAAATACAATCAACCTTAGAGTTTAAAAATTTTAGAAACCTATGGTAATCAGTCCTGGTCAAAGACTTACATTTACCTAATAATTTTTTTAATGTACTTCCATTCTTTGCCCAGACACAGGTTTCTGAGCCCCTAGGTTGGTCTACTTTTCCAAGTAACTTATCGTACGTTTTTCCCCAATTTTACCAGCTCTGTACAAAGGCCAATTTTCCCTTCATGCACATTGAGTAACTCACTGCAGCTGATTAAAAATGTATGAAGGAAAGAATCTCTGATAGTCCTAAATCTTACAACTTTCCATTTGTTAAGTATTCACTAAGCAATATGCATAGTGTTTGAGGTTAAATTTGGGTTTCTATCTTAGCTCCACTATTTTTTCTGTTTTTTTAAACTCTCTAGCTCTCTCCTGTAAAATGACTGGTAATAGTACTGACCCCACAGGATAGTTCTGATGATTAAATAAGAAAACGCAAAGGATGTTTAGAATGGTGCACACAGTAAGTTCTTACCACATGTTAGCTATGTATATAATAACAGAACTAGGTTTTAGCCACTATTAACCAAATGTATATGCACATTCCTGTATTGTCATTCTGAATGTACACATGGGAATCATTTTTTTAAAGCACAGAAAATATAGAAAAAAAGATGACGGCAACAGGTGAGAAGGTATCTATGAATAAGCCAGTACAAAACAATAGAGTTGTATCTCAGAGGAAACCAAATCATTGACTAAGTCATGAGTCTCTGAATTTATCATTGCCCTAAGCCCTGCAATTTCAAAGGCAGACTGCCTGAAAATACAATATGCTTTTCACAAATTAATACGGCAGTGTGGAAGGGTCATGAAATTCAAAAACAGATTTTAATATCCATCACATATATAGAGCAATGTAGACATAATTTTATAATCCATAGAACTGTATATAACTCTTGAGTCTTTGGTCCTAACATGTTTAGGTGAATTTACATTACATTTCTTCCCCAGGAAGGACATGTCAGATGAAAAATGATGAATTTGTAAAACATCAAAAAATGTTATCAACTGAAAATAAATGAATCCCTTTAAAATGCTCATCATATCGCTTGGAATATTTGATTCATTTCTACTGAGCATACAGTTAACACAAATAGCTCACACATTTTTAAATATTGTGTCTATCATGTCACTCTCACACTCAACAAGCTAAGGTCAGCCACAGGAAGTTCTTTGTCTGTCTTTGCAAGGCCATTCTGTGACTCTCCTTCAATTCTAAAATACACACCACACAACAGGCACCTAAATAGTCTCTAAATGAAAAAAAAAAAAAAGTATTTTTACTGTCTTTCAGAAAAGATTGAGAACTCATACACAAGAATAATAACTTATACATCTGATATTAACCTCGCAATTCTTAATACAGAACAGAGCATGCCAAAGGTAGTGACTAATTCCGACTTAGATGATTTAGTCTGCTCAGGCTTTTATAACAGAATACCATAAGCTGCGTGGCTTAAACAACAGATCTTTATTTCTCACAGTTAGAGAGGCTGGGAAGTCTAAGATCAAGGTGCCTGACAACTTGGTTCCAGGTAATAATCCTTTTCCCCTTTCTGACTCACAGACAGACATCTTTTCACAGTGTGATCAAGCTGCAGGGAGAGAGTAAGAATGAGAGAAAGCTCTCTGTAGTCTCTTCTCATGAGAAGCACTAATCCCATTATGAGAGTCCCACCCTCATGACATCATCTACTCCTAGTTACCTTCTAAAGGCTCCATCTTCAAATACCATATATTGGGAGTTATGGCTTCAACATATGAATTTTTAGGGGACATAAACAGTTCATAACAGGCAAAGAAAGGATTCTACCACATGTGAAAGTATGCAAATACTATTAATATTGGGCATCAACTTAATGACACCTTTAGCCTAAGAGTTCAAATGGTACCACGCTGATTGTATCATTTCAATTTATCAAGAAGAAACTTCAGAATAACCAAAGAAGATATTTTAAAGTATTGCTTAAGAAAAGAAAAATAATATTACCAAATAATTTAACACTAGCTATTAATTATATATCTTCCTTTATTCTTTAAACAATTTGAATAGCAAAACATTAATAAAATATATACAAATATACATATATATACTGTTTGCGTATTTTCATTATAAGAATTGAGAATAAAGTATCAAGTGAAAACACTTATAAAGAGATATAAAAATTTATAAAATATGAGAACCTATACTATATTTTATTTTAAATTTCATTAATTATAAACTATTTGAATTTAACATAATGTGGCAAAGCATCCAGGTATTAATTAAAATCAATATGTAGAAAACACGTAACTATGAAAATGCTGTTGGAATAACTTGTGTTTGCAAAACTTGAACATATGTATAAATATACACAAAATCCCAAGACAAAATTGTGAGAAAGGAAAGTTGATGGGGATTACCACCTTACCAAAAAAGTTCACCAGTTCACTGGGTAAGAAAATCTATATTTTAGCATTTACACTTTTTTTTATTCAAAACAAATGAGTCAATTTACCTCAAAACTTGCTTTACAGAAATTGCCTGACTCCTATGTAACATTGGCCTTCGAGGGCCTTTTCAAGTAGTATGAAAAGTATAATGATTTACCCTTAATCTAACAACTTTTGTGTATACAATACACTGATTTACAAAAGACACTGGTCACAAGACTAAGGGTTATTTTAGTTCAAAAGAGGCTAAGTGTACACCAGCATGCTAAAATTAAGTAATACCAGTCAACAATTAGAGAAGCTGGAAAACAAGACTTTAAGGAAAAGATGAAAGCAGGACCTGGGCTAATTGAATTTAAATTTTTTACAAATTAAGTAAATGGAGCAAATTGCATGATTTTCAGGTTCACAAAACTGTAATAAATCATAGCATGACTAACTGCCCTTCATCTATATGGTTAACAGCTAAAAGGAAATATATATGGGCTGGCAAGTGATTTATGTTAAAAATGAAATGATAAAAATGACTTTTCATTTCTAGATTTTATTAATGGAAGGATTATCATAAGATATCTATTTTTGAGAAGGATCAGGGTAGGGCAAGGAGCTGAGGAGTTGGGGAATTGGGTGAGTTGAGGAGTTGGACTATTTAAAATCAAGAAAATGCCATATTTTAAACCATGTGTTATTATTGTGCTATTAAATCTTAGTTTAACTTACAACTCTCCATGATTTTTATGCAGTATTCAATACTACTGATTCTTCTTTCTATCTAGAAACTCATCAGCTTTGGTTTCCCTGGCATCATGGCATTAAGACTCCCCTTTCTCTTCACTGGTTTTACTGTTGTTACTTCCACTGTCCCTGTCAATCACAATTCTGGGTTCTTGAATTTTTATTGCATGCCCCTCTGCTCTTCTTCCTTGGAAATAGTCAGTGCTTGGCATTAATGATTACCTTTCTGCAGTTAAGTTTTATATCTATATCCCAAACCTCAAGATATTTGCCTTGAGGCAATATCCACGTCATTGTTATCCACGTCATTGAAAGCCAAATATATAACCTACTTAAGTGTGTTCCATCACGATATCAATTTCTTCACATCAAAAAACAACATATTGCCCTTCCCTACACCCAAAACTTTTTAACTCTTCTTGATTTCTGTCAATGATACCACTACTTCTCTGACAAATTGGGTTTCATATTGTGGTCAATCTATAGCTATTACTTCTCTTTTGTTCCTTATACCCGTATAATAGTCCATGTTAGTCAAATCTGGCCAGTCTTTTGTATTCCCTATTTCTCCAACATACAGAAGATCTTTCTTGCAGTATGTCTGGATCATAATACAATAGTACTCTCCTAATTGGACTACTCACTCCAAGTCTGTGCTTTCTCTCCCTTATTAGACAGATATCCTTCATAAATGCACACTTGTGCATACATACCCACACACATGCACACATAAACAAAGCTTAAATGGCTCCCCATTAAACACATCATACTAATAAAAACCACTGTCTTTCAGTGCAACCCGGTACCCAATTGCCACTCCAACCTACCTCCACCCTAACCTATTTGTTGTTTGTTAAATCTATGTACACTTCTATTTCTATACCTTTGCTTGCATCACACCCTATGTCCAGGATCCAGTCACTCTATGTTAGTGTAAATGCTAATTTTCCTTAAGCTTTAAATAAAAACCATTTCTTTCAGAAGTTAAGAAGTGGCTCTTCCTCTATGTTAGATTACATCCAGGAAATTCTAAGGAAGCTCTTGCCACTGCCATTCATTTAACATACAGGATATGTTATCAAATCATTATTAATATATATGTCCTCTCCCATCAAATTGGTCAGTAAAACTCTCAAAAGCAAGAACATATTTTATATAATCTCCTGTCCTCAAAACCAAGCAAAATACTTTCCTAGAGAAAATATTTTTAAAAATTTGTTAATAAGAAAAATTCCTTAGCAAAATAGTCAAAAAAACAGCAAGAAACTTCTGTTGGAAAGTGAAAGGACTGTAACGGCAGCAGTACAAATGGAATTCTGTTTTCTTGGTGTTCTTTCTATTTCAAAGGACAAAGGGAACACCATGCAGTACTTGTCAGTAGTTACAAAGATTTTAAGCCATATAATCGTTAACTACTCAAAAATGTGAGGTCAGGGTTTTCTTCACTTTGATTCTGAGGTTTAATCATGCAACTGACTTGCTGAAGCAGCAGTAAAACACTTCAAACTGAAATTTGTAATCTGTGATAATATAACATCAGCAACAAGTTCTGACAAAAACACAACTGAATCACTTGTTTCCACTCTTAAAATGTTACAGGGTCAAAATTTCAAACTTGAGGCTCGGCAAGGTGGCTCACACCTGTAATCCCAGCATTTTGGGAGGCTGAGGTGGGTGGATCATTTGAGGCCAGGAGTTCAAGACCAGCCTGGCCAACATAGCGAAATGCCATCTCTACTAGAAATACAAAAATTAGCTGGGCATGGTGGCATGTGCCTGCAATCCCAGCTATTTGGGAAGCTAAGATGGGAGAATGCTCCAACCCAGGAAGCAGTGAAGGCTTAAGTGAGTGGCGATCACAACACTGCACTCCAGACTGGGTGTCAGAGTGAGACTCTATCTCAATTAAAAAGTACTTTATTGTACACACACATACCTCCAACTTATGAAAAACATGGTCCCTGCAACAAAAGAAGCTGCGGGAGACAGTCATAACAATGAAAACAAAGTGGCTTAAGTATGTTCATATGTTCCTAGAGTAATAACAGGTGCTACATGAGCCCAGAAGGGAAGTTTGGAAAGGACAGATTTAAAGAATGTATATTTTTAAATGGATTTCTATTTTAATCTTTAGAATAACAAGAAATCAACTTTATATCTAAAATAAGATCAGCTCTATTAGAAACATATAATTTAATGCATTAAATAAATATTTTAAATAAAATTCATGCATATAATTACTTAAGCTACATTTATTTTCTTAATAAATAATATTTTATATTCTAAATTAATACACTTTTTTGAATGCCTAGAGAAAATGCTCTCCATTTAAAAAGTAGTATTAGCTAATAGATAATATGTAGTATGGAGTCACATCAAGATATCCCAATTTTTTACCAAAAACAACCTAGGAATTCCAATTTGAGAGCACAAATACTTCACTTAAAATAATTTAAGTTTATACCTAAAGCAAGATATAAAAATATAATGTCCAGTCCTCCACTGTAATTACATACTAGTTGACCTAACCTAACTTCTTTCTAGGAATTAATAAAATTAACTCTGCATCTTCTTTGGGTCCTAGGATTTGGTAATATTAAAGTTGGAATAGACACTTGGAAATTAACATTTGATTTCTCATCCTATTTAGGAATCCTGTTCCAAACACTCATTGAACTATATCAATCAAATTCATCAAAAAATGATAAAGTGTTAGTCTCTAATACATATAAAGCTCACACAAATTGATAAGAAAACAGGAAAATGTTATCAGGTAAACAGGAAAACAACATGAACAGATCACGGAAAAATGTATGCATATCTCCAATTTAAGAAAGAAAAAGAGAAATATTCAGCTACCCACTGAGACTTCTCCTTCCTACTACTACTGAAAATGTTCCTCTGAAGTCTCACCAATTATAAACATGTTACCCAACATCCTGCATTGTTATACATTTTACTTGTCCCCACCCCACATTCAGTATTTTCTTTTTTTTTCTTTATAGGTAAAGTACTTTTTTATAATAGCTTTATTGAGATATAACCCACTACATGATTCACCTATTTTAAGTATATGACTTGTGATTTTTAGTATGTCTACAGAGCTTTACAACATTTCATCAAACACATCCCTGCCAAAAACATGTACCCATTAGCAGTCACTTCCCATTTTCCTGCAAACTGCAGCTTTAAGCATCCATTAATCTACTTTCTAACTGGATTTGTCTGTTTCGGACATGTCATATAAACGGAATAATGTGGTTTTTTGGTAACTGGTTTATCTCACTTAGCATAATGTCTTCAATGATTATCCATGCAGAAATTTACCTGTATATGTGTTATAAACCCCATAATTTACTGTTTAATTTAAATGACCAATTTTTTAATGAGATTTAAATAGTAAGTAAAAATCATGCATCTAGCTATGTAGCTACCATTTTTGCAGTTATCTAATCCTCAGTGCAAACCCCCATTTTTATCTATATCATTTCCTTTTGACTGAAGGATATGATTTCCCTTAACATTTCTTATAATGCAGGTCTGCTGCTTACAAACATTTGCAACTTCTGTATGTCTGAAAAAGTCTCCTCCATGCCTTGGTTTTTGAACTCTAATTTCACTGGGAAATGGAATTCTACATTGAAAGTTAAATGTGTTGCTCTTTGCTTCTCACTTGCATTATTTCCAACAAGAAATGTGCTATTGCTCTATCTTTGTTCTTCTGTATCTAGTAGATATTTTTCCTCCTCTGGCTGCTCTGAAGATAAACTCTTTATCATTAGTTTTGAGCAATTTGATTATGATGTGCCTTGGTGTCATTTTCTTAATATTTCTTCTCCTTGGGTTTCATTGGCCTTCTTGGACTTACAAATTCATTTTTTCAAATATTTTCTTTTTCTGTCCTCCCACTGCTTCACTCTCATCTCTTTGGGAAATTCCATTTTCATGTATGTGAGGCCACCTGAAGTTGTTCCACAGCTCACTGATAAGTCTTTTCATTTTTTTTTCTCTCTCTTGTGTTTCATTTTATAGTTATTATCGCTATGTCCTCAAGTTAACTACCTTTTCTTCTGCAATGTCGAATCTTTCTTTAATATTATCCAATGTGTTTTTCATATCATTGCAGTTGCCAGCTTTAGGAGTTCAATTTGGGTCTTCTAACTATCTTCCATGCCTCTACTTAATTTTTTGAACATATAGAATACAGTTATAATGACAGTTTCAATGTTCTTCTCTACTAATTCTAACATCTCTCTCAGCTTTGGATTTGTTTCAATACATTAATATTTATCCTCATTACGGGGTGTATTTTCCTACATCCTTTCATGCCTGGTTATTTTTAATTGGATGATAGGCATTGTGAATTTTACTATATTGGGTACATGATATTTTCGTATTCCTATAAATATTTTTGAGTTTTGTTCTAGGACATAGTTGAATTATTTGGGAACAATTTGATCCTCTCAGGTCTTGGCTTTAAGCTTTGTGAAGTAAAACTCAAGCAGCATTCGGTCTGGGGCTAATTATTTCCCACTACAGAGGCAAAAACTCCTGAATACCCAATGTCTTGTGAATCATGAAGTTTTCCAGTCTGGCTGGTGGAAGGAGGTATTATTCCCAGACCCATGTGAGTGCTAGTTCTGTCGGATTGTTCTTTACACATCTGTGGGTCATTTTCCCACATGCATGTGCTAATCATTACTCTGTGGAGTGCTCAATGGAATCCTCTGCAGATCTCCAGTTTCTCTCTGAGCAGCTCTCACCTTTCTATTATTCTGCTCTACAAACTCCAGTGGCCTTGGCCTCCCTAGACTTTCAGCTCTGTCCCTCCAATTGGGCATCCACCAGGCTCTGTGTCGTTTCTCCCTTCCTGAGATGCAGCCTATAAACTCAAGAGGGTAACCTAGAAAAATATTAGGGTTTCCTTCATTTGTTTTCTGTTCCTCAGGAAACACTGTATTTCATTGCCTGACAGCCAGTATCTTAAAAAATAATTGTTTCATATATTTTGTGTATTTTTTTATTGTTTCAGGTGGAAACATGTATAGGAATGAATTAACCTGACAGGCCTGAGTTGCTCAAATCTTGAGTGATATGGTTTGACTGTGTCCCCACCCAAATCTCACCTTGAACTGTAATAATCCCCACATCACAAGGGTGGGGCCATGTGAATATAACTGAATCACTGGGGAGGTTTCTCCTATAGTTTTCTCAAGATAGTGATTAAGTCTCATGAGATTTGATGGTTTTCTATATAGTAGCTCCTCTGCATATGCTTTCTTGCCTGCCACCATGTAAGATGTGCCTTTGCTCCTCCTTTGCCTTCCACCAGGATTGTGAGGGTGCCTCATCCATGTAGAACTGTGAATCCACTAAACCTCTTTTCTTTACAAATTACCTAGTTTGGAGTATGTCTTTATTAGCAGCATGAGAACAGACTTATACACTGAGCATTCCCAAGAAAGGCTTGTTTTCAGAAGTGGCCCTCAGCCCCACTCCCAGGAACCAAGCTGGGACTGTTCTGTCAAACAAGAGTGTTCTTTTTTATGCTGAAGGCCTTGGGCAACATTGTACTAGTTGACTAAATGATGAACATCTACTTTGTCTCTGGTGGTCTGAACCTTGAATAACTAAAGTCAATCACACAGCATTGTATGCCTACATGACTAACAAGCAATTAAAAACCTGGATACTAAGATTTGGGTGAGCTTCCCTAGGTGGCGACACTTCACATGTTGTCACACATCATTTGCAGGAAGAATTAAATGTGTGCCAGGTAACTCCATTGGGAGAGGACAACTGAGAGCTTGTGAGTGATTTCCTCTGAACTTTGACCAATGTGCCTTTTCCCTTTGTTTCATTTAATTTATCCTTTCATCATAATAAACTATAACCATGAATACAACAACTTCTATATCCTGAGATTATTTATGGTAAATCAATGTGCCTGGAGTGGTCTTGGAACCCCCAATGCAAAACATACCTCTATTCCCTACTGTCCCACCTTGAGTGTATGCAGAATTCCAGTGAGAGTACCATACTTTAGTGGCCACTCCTTCAGATTGCTTAACTTTATAGTGCACTTTGACAAAAAATACAGAAAAAATTTCAAAATGGCAATAAGTAATTTCTTTACTCATTTTTATGTAGGAATCTTAGGTTAATACATAAGAAATTGATACTTGATCATGGGATCATGGACTTTAAAGTAGAAAAAGTTGACTTACCACAGATATTTCTAAGTAAATCAGCTGCATAAGAATATGTCAGATTTCCCCAAACATCTTTCAATTTTCCATAGGCAGGTCTTGGGAATCAGTCAGTTTAACAAATGTCCATGGCACAGTTTGTAGATCTTCTGCCTCAGTATCCACTCTATCCTTCTTTCTTTGTAGCAAACTGGTGTTATATTTTGGGAGCCATAGTTCTCAACTACAGACTATAATTCCCAGGCTTTAACAAGCCATTCAGCTAAGTACCAGGAAATAACATGTATTTAGAATTGTGTATCATTTACGGAGTCTCATTAAAGGGAGAGGTATACATTGTTCTTCCCATTCTTCTCTGCTTTTGAAGCTCTTGCTCCTAACTTCAACAAAGAAGTGAACTTGAGGATATCAGAGTGGAAAGACAGAAATATGCTGACAAAAAAACCATGCTATATGTATCTCT